CTCCCTGTCTTCCTTGTGTCGAGGGGCGGCAAACGCGTCGCTCCTCACTCCTCCTCGTTTCCCCCGACGACTGCTCCCCTGCAGACTCTCCACATGGATGTGTGGGGCGCAGCCCGCGTCCGTGGACAGGGCCGCGAGCGCTACTTTCTGCTGATCGTTGACGACTACTCGCGTTACACCACGGTCTTCCCCTTGTGCAGCAAGGGGGAGGTCCCTGATGTTTTGATCCCTTGGATCTGCGCTGTCCGTCTCCAGCTCAGCGAGCGGTTCCGCACGGGCCTTCTGGTCCTGCGTCTGCACTCTGACAGAGGTGGAGAGTTTTCCTCCGACCTCTTGCGGGACTTTTGTCGTGGGGAGGGCATTCGCCAGTCGTTCACTGCTTCCGGCCTCTCCGCAGCAGAATGGGGTTGCTGAGCGCCGCATTGGCTTAGTCATGGAGGTCGCTCGTACATCCATGATCCATGCGGCTGCCCCCCATTTTCTGTGGCCGTTTGCGGTCCGATACGCCGCGCATCAGCTCAACCTCTGGCCCCGTGTCTCCTTGCCGGAGACCTCGCCCACACTGCGTTGGACGGGGGAGGTTGGCGATGCGTCGGTGTTCCGGGTCTGGGGTTCTCGTGCCTTTGTCCGCGATACGTCCGCGGACAAGCTCTCCGCCCGCGCCATTCCCTGCGTCTTCCTTGGTTTTCCCCCTGACACGCCTGGCTGGCAGTTTTTACCACCCCACCTCGCGCCGAGTCCTGCCCTCGTCGGGACGTCACGTTCGACGAGTCAGTTCCCTTTTACCGCCTCTTCCCCTACCGTTCTGCCCCTCTCCCCCCTCCCGCCGCTCTTCCTCGCACCAGGTCCTCCTCCGGTAGACCCCCTCCCCCCTCAGGGTCCTGCTCCCTTAGGTGTGTCTCAGGTAGACCCTGTCGAGCCTGTCGAGGTCGCGGTCGACTCTGGTGCTGCTGCTGGGGGTGGTGCTGCTGGGGGTGGTGCTGCTGGGGGTACTGAGCCGGGGCGTGCGGAGCCTGGGGGTGCTGAGCCTGAGCGTGCGGAGCCTGAGGGTGCTGAGCCTGAGGGTGCTGAGACTAGGGGTGCTGAGCCTGCGGTTTGCTGAGCCTGGGGGGTGCTGAGTCTACTGGAGTTCCTACAGGGTGCCTCGTCACGGCGGGAGCCTCTCTCTCCACCGCAGATGCGGGAGTGGTTTGCTCGACGCTGGAGCCTTCGGAGCGGTGCTTCTGGAGCTGGGGGGCCTGCTGCTGGAGGCCCTGGAGCTAGAAGTACTGGAGATGCTGGAGCTGGAGGTGCTGCCGGCGTTTGGAGCTGGAGCTGCTGGAGTTGCTGGAGCCACTGGTCCCGGAGGTGCTCGTACTGTAGGTACTGAGCTGCTGGAGCTGGTGGTGCTGCTGGCGCTGGAGCTGGTGGTGCTACAGGAGTTGGAGCCGGAGGTGCTGGAGCTGCTGGTCCTGGAGTTGCTCGTACTGGAGGTACTGGAGCTGCTGGAGCCGGAGGAGCTACTGGTGCTGGGAGCTAGTGGTACTGCAGGCGTTGGAGCTGGAGAACCCTGGAGCTGGGGGTACTGGTGCTGGAGGTGCTGGTTCTGGAGGCACTGTACGGCCGCGACCGTACTTCGTTCCACTGCTTCAGCAGGTTCTTGGTCTCCCCGCCTTCTTATGGCTCTACTCCTCCCTTATTGTGTCCACCGCCTGAACCAGTCACAGTCGCAGTTACAGCCAGCCTCCCCACTGCCTGCTCCTTCTCCTTACACTGGGCTGACAGGAGGTCGTGCGGAGCGTCGTGAGCCTGAGTCTCGTCCTGCGTCGCCTGTTCGCAGCTGTTCGCACTGGTCGTCGTGTTCCGCGTCCGCGTCCTCCTCCTGTCCCAGGCACGCACCAGATGGCACTTCGTCCCTTCCTCTGTTCCACAGCGTGTCCCTCTGCCGTCTCCTCCTGCGTCCTCTCTTCCTGATGTTCCTGACCCGCCGTCAGGACCTTGCTCGTGCTGCCAGTCCTACTGTCACACGTCTTCTCGCCACTGTTGTCACTGACCCTTCGTTTGAGTCCACCTGCTGCGTCTGCTCTAGTTGCTGAACTTGTTGACTTTGCTGCTGCCTTTCGCCTCGACTACGCCGCTAGTCGTGTTGCTGAGTCTGAGTCTGTCTGTCCTCCGTCCGTCGGGGGTGAGTGTGCTCTTGGCATGGACGTCCCTTGAGGACAGGCAGGAGGAATTTTGGGTGTTTTGCAGCTGCTTTACCTCATCTTGTGTCCATGCTGATTGCACCTGAGGGAGACCCGGATGCACCAGACATCCCGACCCCGCGCTCTTACGCAGAGGCGATTGAGGGTCCCTACTCCTCTCAGTGGCAGACAGCCATGGACGCAGAGATGGCTTCCTGGAAGTCCACAGGCACCTACGTCGACGAGGTTCCCCCACCTGGGGCGAACATCGTCAGTGGCATGTGGATTTTCAGGGTGAAGCGGCCGCCGGGTTCTCCTCCTGTCTTCAAGGCGCGTTACGTTGCTCGAGGCTTCAGTCAGCGACAGGGAGTTGCCTTCTTTCAAACCTTCTCCCCTACCCCCGAAGATGACCACTCTTCCGGTGCTGCTGCACGTTGCCGCACAGCGTAACAACGAGCTCCACTCTCTTGACTTCAAGCACAGCCTTCCTACAGAGCAGCCTACACGAGGAGATCTGGCTGCGCCGCCCACCTGGCTTCACTGGGTCGTTTCCTGCAGGTACCCAGTGGAGCCTCCGGTGGCCAGTCTACGGTCTCCGCCAGGCGCCTCGCGAGTGGCACGACACACTGAGGACGACGCTTGCGGCTCTTGGGTTTGCTCCTTCGACTGCTGACCCGTCGCTGTTTCTACGCACCGACACTTCTCTGCCGCCGTTTCTACATCCTCATGTACGTCGACAACTTGGTCTTTGCCACTGCTGACACTGCTGGACTGGCCTTTGTGAAGTCGGAGCTGCAGAAGAGACACACGTGCACAGACCTGGGTGAGCTGCGCATGCTATCTTGGCTTGCAGATCACCCGGGACAGAGCACAGCGCACCATTACCTTGACTCAGTCACACATGGTGCAGCAGGTCCTTCAGCGCTTCGACTTCCAGTACTCCTCGCCAAAGTCCACTCCTCTGCCTACCGGTCACTCGCTCTCAGCTCTGCCGTCGGATGAGTCCGTAGAGCCGAGTGGCCCGTATCCAGAGCTTGTGGGCTGCCTCATGTACCTGATGACCTGCACTCGACCTGACCTTGCTTACCCTCTTAGCATCCTGGCACGCTACGTTGCGCCCGGGAGACAACGACCAGAGCACTGGAAGGCCGCTAAGAGGGTGATGCGCTACTTGTGCAGTACGTCGGGCATGGGGCTCGTGCTTGGAGGACGGGCTCGAGTTGTCCTCACTGGCCACGCAGACGCTTCTTGGGTTGACGACTTGGCTACTCAGCGGTTCGTCACAGGGTTACACTTTCAGCCTTGGCGTCGGCTCTGTTTCGTGGTGGTGTACCCGCTCGTCTTCTGTTCTCTGTTCCAGTTGTGAGGCTGAGATCTACGCAGGGGGCCATGCTGCACAAGTTGTTACGCTGGCTCACCTACCTGCTGACTGACTTGGGAGTGCAGCCTCGTTCCCCCCCAGTTCTGTACGTCGACAACAAGGCCATGCTTGCCTTGTGTAAGGAGCACAGACTGGAGCACAGAACGAAGCACATCGCTCTGCGTTACTTCCTTGCTCGAGAGCTGCAGCAGCGTGGTCAGCTTCGTCTTGCTTACGTGGCCTCTTGGGCCAACACTGCTGATATCTTCACCAAGGCACTTGCGCCTTGTGATCATCAGCGTTTCTGTACTGTTCTACGCCTTGTGCCCACTTGGCCTCACTTGCTCACTTGTTGACCTTGTTTGTACTGTGATCCATATCCTTGTACCTGCATGCTTACACTTGCTAGGTTTTGATCACTGTACTGCTTGTTCTACATTATATAACTCTGCATGTGAACTGCCTTGTGGCCATTTGCTTGTGTTCAGAATGTGTGGTGACTTTGAACCACCCTGAGCTAGCTTTGTTTTGTCGTTTCTCTTGACTGGTCTTGTGACCATTGCTTTCTCTGGCTATCCCCCATTTCGCCTATGGGGGTGTGTCAAAACATATATGCTTATGTTGTTTAGGCTATATGGGTGTTAGCACTAGGGGGTACAGAATTTCACTCGATGTTGTTCTTGTACCCCTCCCCTTGACCTAATCACCATCCTATTCTTCTCGACAGTAGGCACATCGGCCTTTTGTCGCAAGGGTAAAACCGTGGTGTAGCGGGAGTAGTCGTCCACCACAATCAGGAAGTAGCGCTCGTGACGTGGGCCAAGGACCGGGGAGGGGCCCTAGATGTCCAAGTGCAGGGTCTGTAAGGGAGCCGTGGTGGGGGGGAACGAGGAGGAGTGAGGGGCAGCGCGCTGCCGACCCTCGATGCAGGGGGTGCACGGCGGTGCAGGTGAGCGGGGAAGCGGGAGTCCTGAGACTAGACGGTGACGCACCATCCTACTGAGATGCGGGAAGGACGGGTTGTCAGACATTATAATCATATGTTCTGTTATATACCTGCCTGTAAGATTTACTGTAGTGTAGTTCCTATTATTTGGTGGTGCACCTTTTTTCATTTTGCTATATGTACCTTGTGTGCTATAGTGAAACCCACCCCATTCTCGATTCTCTCTTGGCTCAAATCTCACGACACCCGCTTTGCCTAGACTACTAAGCCTAGGCCCTTAGTTAAACCCGCTTCTTAAGCTAAGTAAGCACGTTAACATGGTATTGAGCGAATACGATCCTAGACCTTCCTAAATGGGCCCACCATTCCCGCCCGCAGCTGCCCGTAGACCCGCCCGTCGCATCCTGCACGTGGCGAACGCGCCAGCGGCCTGTGGCGAGCTCACAGCAGGGCGCGCCAACAACTGCCGCCAGCGCGCACACCAGGAACCCGCTAGCCAGCTCGCCAATGGACGGACATGCCGAAGGACCCACTAGCCCACGATCCAGCGGACCCGCGAGCACGCCAGCATGCGAGTCGACGGACCCGCCGACGTACCCGCCAATGCGTGCGACAGAAGACCTGCCGACGGACCCGCCGACGGACCCTCCAGCAAGCCCACCGACGGACCGCCGACAGATCCGCCGACGAACCCGCCGACGGACCCGCCAGCGAGCTCGCCAACGGATCCGGGAACCCGCCAACAAGCAAGCCGACGGACCCGCCGTCGGACCCCCCCCTTCCCCGTCGCCTTCCCTTCCGCGACTGTGAATGTGGGGGGGGAGGTGGTGGTGTGAGGGGGTGGCCGCCGTGACCCCCCCAACTCTTCCCCACCCGTCCCGCCCCTGTGCGTTTGCAGCGGTAGTCGCTGTATGGGGGAGGAAAGGGGGAAGGGGGTGACGGCGGGACGTCCACCAGCAACAGCCGCACTGCCGCCCGTCCCTCCATCCCTCACCCCCTCCCCGTCGCTTTCCCTTCCGCGACTGCGGCTGTGGGGGGGGAGGTGGCGTGGAGGGGTTGGCCGCCGTGAGCAGAAGCAGCACAGTCGCCTCTTCCTCCTCTCGCTCACTCTCGCGTGTGTCGTTGAGGGGGGGGGGGGCTGAGGGGGTGGCGGTAAGATTCTGCAGGACAACCGTGGGTGGGAAGGGCCTGGAGGAAGGAAAGGGGGTCAGGGGGTGCGGTCCGGGTGGCGGCTGAACAGGGGGGGGTGAGGTTTAGGGGGGTGGCTGAAAGGGGGTGTGGATTTGGAGGT